TGAGACAGAGTCTTGCTCTGTGGCCAGGCTGGAGTGCAGTGGCACAATCTCAGCTCACTGCAACCTCCACTTCCTGGGTTCAAGTGATTCTCTTGCCTCAGCCTTCCAAGTAGCTGGGACTACAGGTGTGTGTGGCACCACGCCCAGTTAATTTTTGTATTTTCAGTGGATATGGGGTTTCACCATGTTGGCCAGGATGTCTTGATCTCTTGACATCGTGATCTGCCCACCTCTCCCTCCCAAAGTGCTGGGATTACAGGCATGAGCCACTGTGCCTGGCCAGATCTTTCCTTTTCATGAGTATTCTGTTTAATTCTGTCCAGGCAGCTTGTTTCTTGGCTGTGAGCCCATCCTGTTTTATGACTGATTTCATTAACCTTTTGGCTCAGGAAATGAGGAGATTGAAATAAAAGTTCCTCCAGATGCAGGTAAAAATGGAACTTAAGGACATCTCAAATGTTAGGCTCTGAATGATATCTCTAAAAAAATCTGTTTCCTTTTCAAAAGCTTCATAAGCTCTCTAATTTCTAGTGGTCTATACATACACATCATAAATAAAGACCTTGAATGTTCAGAGCTTTACTTTGATTTCTGAGGTTTACTTTTTTGATGGAAGAGCTAAAAAAATTGGCAGCGTGAGCAGATTCTCCTCAAATGAAGATTTCAAGCACAGGGATCAAAACCAAGAACTCTCTACATTCTGTCTCCTAAATGGGATTAGGGTATCACATTCCCTGCATTTTGGTTGGAGTTTTTAACTTTCATACCCTTTGGGTTTGTGTTGCCTTGGACGTGAAGTTTTTTTTAAGTGTTTCTGGGGAAACCGTAATATTGGTATGAAATCATTAAAGCCAGTTTTGTAAGGAAAGAATTACTACTGTCTTGCATCTGTGCCTTCCAGAGATCCTAGTCCCAGTTGATGGTTTGTAGAAGCCTCTGAATTTGGAGACTATAGACTGTATTTGTGGAATTCTTGACTTTGGTTTTCAGCTTTCCTTCATTTTCTGTGTCACTGCAGGTCCTGCCTTGGTTGCTGGCTGGTCATGATCATGAGGAGGTGGCCCTTACAGTTAGAGTAGCCTCACTGCCACAAAATCCTTTTGCTTTCATTTTTTTCCAGAATGTTAAGAGTTTCTTCTGGCATGAAGCAGAGCCATCTCCAGATCTCGGAGACTGGTTTCCATTGCCTTTTATTGGTGCTATGTATGGGTTTGTTTAAAGGCTGATCAACATTTGTCATCTTTGGGTGAACTTTTAGCCATTACAAATTCTGTACAGTATATATCTGTCATAGGTCGTATAACTTGGCAGTGAAAAAGTAGTGGGAGGTCCTTTTGGGGCCAAAACATTGTTGGAGTCAGGATGCTAGAATGCTAAGCTGGAGAGGCTATGGTGAGAGAATGGGGTATTGGAAGTTATAGTATGGAGGTTGCCCTTGCTGATGTCTAGGGTACGGCCATGGATGTGAGGGCTTCAGTAGTGTAGCAAATAAAAGCACTGAAGACTAGAAGGGTAAAGACTGAGGCGGAGTTGTGGAGAGTCACTTTAGCTCTGATGGGCATGTTTGAGAGTGTTGGAGAGGCTAGGTGTGGTGGCTCTTGCCTGTAATCCCAGCACTTTGGGAGGCTGAGGTGGGGGGGATCACCTCAGGTTGGGAGTTCAAGACCAGCCTGACCAACATGGAGAAACCCTGTCTCTACTAAAAACACAAAATTAGCTGGGCATGGTGGCGCATGCCTGTAATTCCCAACTACTTGGGAGGATAGGGCAGGAGAATCGCTTGAACCCAGGAGGTGGAGGTTGCAGTGAGCCAAGATCGTGCCATTGCACTCCAACCTGGGCAACAAGAGTGAAACTCCATCTCAAAAAAAAAAAAAAAAGCGAGAGTGTCGGAGACAAGCTTAAAATATTCAGAGTGAGAGGTAGCGTGCTGCAGGAGGGGGCATCACCCATGTCCACAATGGAGGGGAAGTGAGTGGCGTCTGATGACACGGTGGAAGAGGGCAGCAGGGAAGAGGTGCCCAAGAGGAGAACCAGAGTGAAGATGCAGTGAGGAGAAGGGAACCCTGAAGAGAAGTGGGAATAAAGGTTTGTTTTTTGATTTTCAAAGGGCACTGTGGGAGTGTTTCAGGAATCAGAAAGGTGAGAAGAGAGGTCTATTTTTTTTTTTGAGACGGTGTCTCGCTCTGTTGCCAGGCTGAAGTGCAGTGGTGCAAGCTTGGCCCACTGCAACCTCTGCCTCCCGGGTTCAAGCAGTTCTCCTGTCTCAGCCTCCCCAGTAGCTGGGACTACAGGTGCCTGCCACCAGGCCCGGCTAATTTTTGTATTTTAGTAGAGATGATTGTTTCATCATGTTGGTCAGGATGGTCTCGATCTCCTGACCTCATGATCCACCCTCCTT